TATATGTATATGTATATATATATCTTATTCTTGCCTTGTAGTACTTGCCTCAATTTTTATTTTCCCTTATTATGCTTATTGTTATGCATCAATACATCAAAGTAGATTCCTTGTACATTAAACCTACCAGTAAATTACCTCAGTGCTGATTCTCGATGGTTTTGGATCGGTCTCTGCGTGCCTGTGACTAACCACAACACTTCAACAAATTAAAACCTGATTAAATAAATTGCTTTGCATCCTGCACACAGTCTGTGAAGCTCAAACAGACCTCGCCGACATGAGGCAGATTTTCCCAGCACACATCCCTGCAGGCGTCCTGAGATTTATTACTTATAATTAACAGCAGGATTTATATTCTCCCACAGACTCTGAGATTTTTGGGAAAGTGCTTTTGATGGTGAACTTAAAAGAGGCACTGGTGGCGTGTTAACTAGTGTCAGTGGACAAGTTGACACAAGTATTTACATTTGCCAAGCACATTTTGTTTTGCAAAACAGCAAGCTCTCTGACATAAAGATAAAATTATATTGGCACAGGCAGATATTCGTCCGCAGCCAATAATTCCAACTTCATGCAAATGGCACAAACATTAGATGCAGTCTGCTTTAGTCTCGCAGACATAAACCCTGACACATACACTTTGCAGGGGAGGTAACATCTCTATCTCTGGTATACAGTTTCATGTTGTGTGAGAGAGAACAACATCTGCGTGTGTTAAATGGAGGATGTCATCTGTAACCCAGCTCTGTATGTTTTCATTTCTCAACTGCTTTTTTTTCTCTTTTCCAGTTTTAGCAGGATGTCAGAGGCAGCTGTTGAGAGCCGGTGCTCCTGCCTACACCGGCATCTCACCGACTGCACAGAGGTATCTGCCCATCAGGACTTTCGCAGCTGTCAAGTGAGTTTACAAACCCTCAGTTTAATAAAACAAACTTTCAAGATCTTCCTCCAGAGAGTCTGACTCTGGAGCTGTTTTTCAACACCATTCTGCTTCACCCTGCAACACCTTTGCACATTATGGAGCTGCCTACCAGTACAAGCTTGTTGTTCACTTAGTAGATAGAAATGTCACCATGTGCAGTGACGTATAAAATCAAGAGCAGACAGAGGTAGGCTTGATGACCTGATACTTCTCTGTTCAACATCTCCCTCATTGTTTGTCAGGGCACAAAAGGAGGAGGACACAGAGAAGGCGAAGAAACCAAGGGTGGTCATCGATGACAAAGACAGACATAAGCCTTTCGGCAAAACAGCGTGGGCGCCCGTGGACGACGTGTATGTTATGAGGTTCTACCCCCAGGTGATCTATGACGCAGGAGACGCCATCGACATGCTGAAGAACTTTCAGAAGTTGGACTTCACTCCCCACAATCAGCCTGTTTACATCGATCTGAGGCTAGACATGAAACTGGAAAAAAAGGTAACAACAGAGTGAATGGATGAAGAGATTTGAAGAGTTGTTTTGCTGTGAAAGTGTTTTTAGGGGGCAATTTCGCTTCTATCAGACAGGAAACAGTGAAGCGCTGAACAAAATGAGGTGAGAGAAATAGGGGAGGACGTACAGCAATGGCCCCTGGCCTGACTTGAAAGGTTATGTAGCATCTTAATGTCTGGGTTATGGTGAGAAGAAGTGGTTCCTGCGATGTGTTGTCCAACCATGTCGGAAATCCAAAGTATTTATGTCGGTTCTGAAAAGCCACACCAGAAGGCAGAGTGGATAGCCAGCTGTCAGAGGGGACGCCATATTGTTAAAATATGGTGATAACACCGTACACTTTCAGACAGTCTCTCCCAGAAGGCAGTCATAGCACTCAAGTGACAGAAATAGTTGTGTAACAAATGAGAAAAGAGAGAAACTCCTGCTCTTGTCTCATCTCTGCACAGCTCACCAATCACATTGTGACGTGTAATAGTTTGTTGGGTAGTCGGTTTAGTAAAGCAGCTCTCACAATTTTGACTTTGGAAAAGTTTGGGGGTTTATAAGCTATTCAACCATCCAACAAGAAGCTGTGGTGATGCATACAGTTATCTCAATCCTCAAAGGTTTCATTTACACTAATATTTTAACACCTATTGATATAAATGGGGTGAACAAAACAGCAGAAACATCAGCTCAGGTTTTAATTATTACATATGCACACCGAAGTTAATAATGCCAAGGGTTTTGTTTTTGTGCAAACCCAAATGGAACTATTATACACATACAGTATATTCCTATATTTCAGCTGCTCTGCTATTTTATGTCTTAGATTTTAATTAGTTTGTGTTGCACTTACGTAATTTTTCTTATGTATTTTATATGTACACCAACCAGCCACACCATTAAAACCAATGACAGGTGGAGTGAACAGTGAACAGCTTGACACAGTGCAATCTCCTACTAGAAAACCCTTGGTCCTTGCAATTATGTGGATGCCACCTGACACACACCACCCACCCAAACACTGTTGCCGACCAAATACCTCTCCTCATGGCAACCCCCTAGGAGGACAATGCGCCATGCCACACTGCAAAAATGGTAAATGGACCTGCACTTGTATAGCACCTTTCTAGTCTTCCTACCACTCAAAGCGCTTTTTACACTACGCCACATTCACCCCTTCATGCACACATTCACACACTGGTGCTGAGGCTGCCATACATGGTGCCACCTGCTACCCAGTAACCATTCACACACTCACACATCGACGGAACAGCTATCAGGAGCAATTTGGGGTTCAGTATCTTGCCCAAGGATACTTCGACATGTGGACTGGAGGAGCCGAGGATCTAACTGTAGATCTTCTGTTTGGTGGACGACCCGCTCTTCCTCTGAGTCACAGCCGGACTGCTCAGGAATGGCCCGAAGAACAGGACAAGAGCTCAAAGCGTCGACTTGGCCTCCAGATTCCTCTGATCCCAATCTGACTGAACATCTGTGGGACAGAATGGTTCCCCACCTCACAACCCACAGTGCTCAGATGATCTGCTGCCAGCACCCTGGCGCCAGACACCACAGGACACCCTCAGAGGCCCTGTGTCCATCTCTCACAGGTCAGAGCCAAGTCCAATCCAAGGAAGACCCACTATGGATTTGGGGTACCTTCTGGAGTACCAGCACGTCCTACAAATCCTCAAGCAGATTAGGATGTTGAGAATTTGGAGGCCAGGTCGACGCCTTAACTTCTGTGTCATGTTTCTTGAACCATTCCTGAGCATGGTGTGGCATGTGTTGGGTAGTGGACCCAAGGTTATCAAAAGAGAAGATTGCACTGTAACAAGATGATCTGTTATTCACTTCATCTTTCAGTAGTTTTAATGTCTTGGCTGATTGGTGTATGTATCTTTAGGAGCACAGTTGAAGGGAGTCTGAGATCTGTTATTTTCCTTGCCAAAGACTACGTCACTGTAACTGTTGTGCACTTGACAAAAAAGAACTTAAACGGTTGGGTTATATACCGAAATTGTCACATCTGTATTGCTATACCGTGTCTGCACTCAAAGCTGGCTCTCTGGAGTGACTTGGTGAGTTCTGCATCTTAACAGCTCTTGGCTCCTCTGAATTCACTGGTGTATATCCATTAATCCACCAGTCTGAGTGATATTTCCTGCATCAGTCAACCTGAGCAGTTTTGGTTAATCAGCGAAAAACAGAGAGACACAGAGGAATAAAAACCTCATGAGTTTGTTTCCACATCACAGAGCTGCAGAGCTGCTGTGTTGTCCAGACAGCCCACATGAGACAGACTTGATCACAGCCTCGCTCTCATCTGTCTGTCTCTGCAGAACCATGCAGAACCAATGTTCCTTTGCATAATGAATTAAGAACACTCCAGAGAAATGAAAAATTAAAGTGGCAACGGAAGAGATTTAATACTTGATTATCTGAGCTTTCTCTTTGATTGACATCCCTCCTTCTTCTTATCTCTCCTGAATCCTTTTATTTGCTGGAGCATGCTGAGGCTTTAAAACTCTAATAATTGAATCTTTTTTTTCCTCCTCACAGAAAAAAGTCGACCCCTTTGTCAGCACGTTGACCTTACCGCACCCCTTCAAGACAAAGATAAACAAAGTTTTAGTATTTACTGAGGTAAAAACTTTTATTTTTCACCCCCTCAGCCTCACTGAATCTTAATTTCATAGCCAATTGATTACCTGCTGTTGATGAATTGCTTTAATATTGTCTGAACATGATTCAGATGTGCAGCAGCACCTTTTTATTTGTCTGTAATGAATGGGCTCGGGTGTTTTGATCACGGAATCCTACAAGCGGCATTTGATTAATATTCCTGTCGAGGAGCACAGGTTGTGGGTTGTAACTTAGATGTTGCATGTTAACGACCATAATGAATGGGACTGGTGGGGTCTGCCAGACTTTGACACACCCCACATCAGATTTAAATGGGTGACGTTGTTCTGGTTTTCTCTGCAGGATGCTAATCTAGTGAAGGTTGCCCAGGAGAACGGAGCGATGTTGGCTGGAGGAGTAGAGCTCATGCAGCCGGTGAGTCGGTTTAACTGAGGTGTATTTTACTGTAGGTTCAGATCAAGTTTATTAGTTCATCTGGAATTTATTTTAGCAGTATGATTGTAAAATCTTGTTACAAAGCATATTTCCCAAATCAAGCAATGGAAAGATAAAAACGAATAAAATGAGGCATTAAAGTTTTTCTTTTAGACATTTTTAGACTTTTGTCTGATGCAGTGTGTAACAGTGGAGCACAGCTCATTGCATTAAACATCAGTTTGATTATTTATATGATATACATATCAATATTGGTAAAGTACAGCTGTTGTGATATCAGTTTCTACCACATGATCCACTCCTGTTCCCTTTCGTTAAGGGAATGATCTTTATTCATCACATTACGGGGGTTGCTGGGGTGTCACATCAGTTTGTTTTTTTTTTTTTTGACCCTTGCTGAAGCTACAGATATTTCTCTTTGAGTGACTGGCAGTGAATGCACGACCCTCCCTCCACCGTAAATTAATTATTAGATGTCAAAATAACAGTTAAAAGTTGAAGACGAGATTCTGAAGTTGAAAAAAGGCATCGTTTTTTGCAGGTTAGTTCATGCTGACGGTTTAATTTTGAGATGAGACGTAGAATGAGTTGATTTTGATGAAATATCACTATTTTAAGCTCAGATTTGATTATGTTTATTTCTGACGGAAACATTTGTCACACATGATGTGTTCAAGAACAGCCGTAAATCTGAAAATCTAATTTCTGTTTTTATAGTTTCTTTCTTTGATAAATAGTGCAAGTTCTGTAATCAGCAGTGAAAGAAATACAAAGTACAATCATTTAAAGTTGTATGTCCCTTTCCTAGGCCAAAATAAAAAACATACGTCCCCTCTCAGTGCTTAAAAAAATGTCTAACATGCTTCTCACATTTTTCTCATAAATAACAAACGGTCCCTAATATATTTCTTATAGAGACCTTTCCTGTCACTTTCTAGCTGTTCTGTAATAAAAGGCAAAGCCCTAAAAAATAATCTTAAAAGAAAATGTTTTTGCACCCACATAACCGCGGTGGTCAGCTTTACGTCCATGTGGCGTAAATCTTATCATCCATACATATCTGCGAGGGTCAGCACTGACCACTATGTGGATGTCCATGTGCAGCCTGTTTAGTTTCACTTTCACCTGATGTTGGCCGTAGGAGGTCGGTAAGCTCACCTCCCAGTCCTCCTGTTTATAGCTGGGGCTGAAGCGAACCATCAATTATACTCTGAACATCTATAAACTATAGAGCCGCGTGTACATCCGCGTGACTCCAGCTCTTCTAATGCAAAAGTATATCCAAGCCTTAATTCAAGACTCATTTATCCAGTTGTTTTCTCAGTACTTCCTAAACACATGCATTTTCGCAAAAAAAATCTTAGTACTGGAGTGTGGCTTTGAAGAGAGCATTGACAGGTTTCACTGTCAGTTTAGTTTTAAGTCAGTATGTTCACCGTTATACAAAAAGGCATTAGAGAAGAACAAAGTTTTCTGTATTATTGATATACAAATGGTCATTTTGTAGGTGAAGTACTCCTCTAAGACGCCTCCTGGTGTCTTTAAAGTTTCATTCAATAACATTTTATTCACTTCCAGATCTTAGATGATGAGATCTCAGCAGACTTCTACATAGCAGTGCCAGAAATAGTGCCCAAGATTCTACCACTGAAAAACAAACTGAGGAAGAAGTTTCCAAAGAGCAGGAGAGGTAAGCTGCGTCTTTGGCAGATCGAAGGTTAATTTGCTTTAACTTGTGAAAAAGTCCTGGGATTCAAAACCTGCTTTCAAGATAAAGAAGACAATCAATTCTTTTCTCTTTCTCTCTCTGTTGACACTCAGGCACAGTCGGGGTCCAGATTTTGAAGATGCTAGAGTTGTTTAAAACAGGTCACGAGTACATGGTGGAGAGCAACTGCTTCGTCAGGACCCAGATAGGAACGGTACGTCTCAACAAACGGCTGCAGAGCGCTGAGTGGGATTATTATAGCTGATAGTGAGATGTTAGGGTGAACGTCTTTCTGTCATCAACAGCAGCTCAGAGGAGGCTTTCAGTGTCTGGGGACAAGGCAGTTTTACATTTTAAATTTTACAAGTTAAAGTGGAAAAAGTTTAGAGACTGTGGGGAGTGTTTGGGTTTATTTAGGCATGAAATACAATTTTGCTTCTACATTTGAGTTCCCACCAGGATCAGTTTGAATTGCAAAAGATTATAAAGTAGTTTCAAATTGCAAAAATCAGCGAGGGAGTTTCAGCTGGGGATGGGTTCAGTCTTGTTCTGATCAAAGCTTTCATACGTGTTGTACCATCTTGTATGACGTAGAAAACACAAAATTATTCACCATTTTTGAAAAGGAACATAAGTTGCTCGTCAGGTTCCCAGGACAAACACCAGCTGAAGACTCTGCATCTGTCATTGTCATACTTAAGAATACAGCCTCACAAGTTAAATTTAACCCTTTGAAACCTGAGCAAATTGCCTGGTGTCTTTCAAAGACATGGGAAGAAGGCAAGGAGCAAAGAGGGAGGAAATGACCCAAAAAAGTAGCAAGAAATTAGTAAAAAGAGAAAATTTAAAGCAAGAAAAGTTAAAAACAAACAAGGAAATTACCTGGAAAAAGAGCTTAAAATGATAATAATTCTGTAGCATAACTTTAAATATGTATTAATGATAATTATAAATATAGTTGTTACTGAGCTTTTTAAATTTTTCTCCCTAGATTTTTGTGGAACATTTCTTACCAAGTTGCTAATTGCCTTTTTTCCCCGTGTTTTTGAAAGACATTGCACCAATTTGCTCAGGGTTCAAATGTTCAAACTTGAGAAAGGCGTCTGAAAGTGGCACAAGAAAAGTGGTATCACTCCAGGTTTCAAAGAGTTAAAGGCAGCACATCATGACTGTAGTTGTATTTATCTAAAGGCTAGGCCTGTCATGATAAGTGTGTAATGGATTTATCGTATGCAGGGTGTCTGCAGGTTCTTTAAAATGTCTTAAATTTCATTTGATAAATATTAGGCCTTTAAAGTCAGTAAATAGTCTTACATGTGAATCTGTGAGGTCTTTATTGCCAGAAACATTTTATCTAGTTTATTTTTCTCATCTTTAATTTCTTTTTATCAAAATAAGTCGAGCTTCTCTGTGTGAAGTCCACATTTCTGATGTTACAAATCTTAAAAACCTGACATACCTTGTGATCAAAACACAGATTAACCTAACTCACTCTAACAACCATATTTCTTCATGAAACCTACCTCTGCGTGGGACCCCATATACACCACTTAACTTCATACTTACCTGCAACGCTTGAAAGAGAAAAGATGATTTGTCCGAAAGAAAATTAGTCTTAAATTTAATTAAAAATTATCTTGAAAAGGTCTTAAAAATCATTTAACATATAAACATAAATTCTGGCAGCACACTGGCTAAACTTTCTAAAAATTATTTTTACTTTTTTCATATTCTAATTGTAATGTCTGAATATTCCTAAGAATAAAAAGTTCATTGCTCTTTGAAAGGGTGTACCTGCATTATTACACAATGGTTTTGTCATCATATCAGTGGCATGATATGGTCTCAAAATGACAGTTATATTGTTTATCCCAATTATTTCTGTGACAATTCATCGTGCAACAAAAGTAGTTATTGTGACAGGCCTACAGCAGCAGATTTTAGAAACATAAAATGTAAAGGTGAGACAAGACCAGGAAAGGCATTTTGTTTGGTTGCAGTGTTCATATTATTTATTTTCTCTCCTCTTCACAGCTCGACATGCCCAAAGAACACATCTTTGCCAACCTGCAAACTATCCTGATTGATGTTTGCTCCCACCGACCAGCTAAAATGGGTACGTTCACCAACACCAGCCAATAAATCACAACACAAACACACATGACTTTGTGGCTGCTCTTCTTCTGTCAGCAGCAGCTGATAAACTCCCTCTAACTGTTTTGACAGCTCTTCAAGATAAAATAACACGTTGCTGATTGATTTTTATTCGCCACAATGGTTGTTGGAAGAAAAAAGCCTTCAAAATGTGCCAGTTTTTATCTGCTGGCTGGTTTTAGTTTCCCTCCCTGGTTCAGATTACAGCTCCTCAGTCAGAGTGATGGAGACAGCAGGGAGACAACACGCCAGCCAGGCGTTATGACTTTTCCAGGCTTATTGATGCATTTTCTAAATCAAGTGTTCTGAACTTTTTTACCCCAGAAATGAGAGCGAGTAGTCCAGTCAGCTTTTATGTTCTTAGGTGGATCCAGAGGTGGAAAATTAAACCATTTCATTGAAAAACAACTCACGTTTTCATCCACATTTTGCTTTCTTGCTATAGTTTGCATTAAATTCCCACCAGAATCACATTGTTATTATTATACGGTTTCAAATAAATCTTCATTGGACTGCCCTGCCACTCAACACTAATGTAACACTGGCAAGAAATAATGTGAACTTTGTTCACTGTGATGGATCACACAACACTGCTAATTGATTTTCATAATGCACAGGACTGAATGGAAACTAATGGCTCCATAGCTGTAAAGCATGCATTCAAAGACAGTCAGCAAAAATATAAAAGACACAAATAGTCAAAGAAAACTTGGAGAGAAAGAACATAGTTACGGCCCCTTAAACACTGAATGAATATGACCCCAGATTGACCCCGATGAGGCAGCCGGGACTCATCTCAGTGCTGCTATAAACTGACTGTATTTTTGGGATGTTGGAGTTAATTCATTTGTGATCTTCTGTACATTTGCTTCACTTTCTGTTCGATAATAAGACGCTGAGTGTAATCATCAGCTAATGGACCCTCATTAGAGGGAGAGGCTTAAATGATCTACAATATAATTGATTCTGAGCCTGCTAAATAAAATGTCATTAACAGAGCTGAAGTAAACTGCAGAGCTTTCAGAAACGCTGATGGAGGATGCTTTAAAACCAACGGCCCTTTGTGACCTGAAACTTCTCATATCAAGAAGTCTTTACTTTCCCATCTATCTTGGATCTCTCTCTTGAGCACGGTGTTGCCACTCACACATTTGTCTCTTCAGCCGGCCTCTGAATAATGGGTTTCTTGCTCCGATATTCTTCCTGTCGGGGCACAGATTGTGTTCTGACCCGAGTCATATTGGAAAAACAGGTTTGTTTCACCAAAGTTTTTTATCAAACAGCTCCCAGATTTGGACTAAACCATCTCTGTGGTTCTTTATCTCACAGTGACACCTTTGAAAAGATCAATCCTGGTTTTTCTGCTTAAAGGGTGGCACCGTCATTTTCTTTTTTTGTTTTGTTTTTTGAGGTTTTGATATCATTCTATAGTAGGACTGGGCGATATGGAGAAAATCAAATATCAGGATTTTTATTGAGCAAATACCTTGATATCGATAATGCAATGATACTGTATCGTTGGGTTTATTATTGGTGCTTTGGGCTGGGCGGTACGGCCTAAAATCAATATCACGGTATTATTTTGGGGGGATGCGGTGACGGTATGATATCACGGTATCGTCTTCTCTTTTTTTTTTTTTTTACACCTTAAATAAAACAATTTAAAAAGCCATACAAGTCTAGGATGGAAACTATTTATCGTCAGAAGTAAATCTGTTGCTAATCCATCTATTATTGTGTATTAAATGTTAAATAGTATGTATAAACGTTAGAGGGAAGAGGGAGGGCCGGCGGATCCAGGGCCCCCTTCTCCCGCGGGCCTGGATTTGGGCCTCCATCATGTAGTGAGGTAGGTGCGTGAGGCAGGCAGGCCGCCGGGCCCCGTTCTGCCGCTGTAGCCGGAGTACTGCGGTATGATGGTAACCACAAAAGCAGTACCGCGGCTGCCCAGCCCTATTGGTGCTTTTACAAAATATTTACAGAATGAGTTTTTCTTTTGTAAATAATCATCAGTAATGTGGATATGATGATTAAGTGGTTGAAGGTAAATGATACACAGCTAAAAAAAGTTCAGAAAAAGCCGTCACTTAACTGTAATGCAGCCTTTAAAACCAGGAAAATACAGCACTTAACAATATTACGATATCCAAAATGTTAGCCATATCTAGTCTCACATCACAATATTGATGTAGATACAATGCCCAGCTCTATTCTCTAGCTTCCTGGTAGTGTTCATAATGCATTCAAATCTTAAAATTAAAATTTTGCTCATTTGTTTTTGCTTTAAAATGCTGCCTTCTGCAAATTTTTCCCACATGACCTGATGTGGTTTTTATTGCTAAATATAAACCCCTGCTCTGCTGTGGACGCCACATTAATGTGGTTTTGGAAGTCACACAAAAACACAAATAAACTAAATGATTAAGGCAGTGGTTGACCAGTAACTTCTAGTGATGGGCAGTAGTGTCTCTACAAGTGTGGTGGTAACATCACTACTTTCTGAGTCAAACAGCTTTTCAGGAGCAAAGTTGATCAAGTTGATGAACCGAGTAGCGCGGTTGAGAAGTGACATACTGATCTCACGTGTTATTTTCAGGACATGTTCATGTTCTAATGTCCCAAAACAAAGAAACGTTTTCAGTTAGGTCTGTTACTTTTATTGTTTATATTACTGTCTTTTATTTATTATAGTTTTATTGACTGAAAAATATACTTTGGAATTCAGTTTTTGAATTACTGACAGAGCAAGGGAATCGACTGAGCGAGGCAGAGACAGAAAAATGCATCAAGTAGGGAGAGGAGAGAGAAAGAGAGAGAGCAATAGGCCAACTGATGATGTCATGTTAGGGAGGACATGTCACAAAGGTTTCCAAAAAACAAAAAGAAGAAGAAAGTTTTGTTTTAAGTCTATTCTATTGCCTGCCTTTTTGTTTGGCTGACAGTTTTTCTGATCACTGAGAAAATGTTGATTTGACAAAGTAAAAAAAAATAACAGTAGCTTTGCAAGTAGCAAGTTACTTTTGCCATTTTATCGTAGCTTGGCTTGCTGCATTCCTCCTGGGATAGCTTCAATGTAGTGAAACGTTATTTTGATGTAGAGAAGCTCGTAGCTTAGCTCACTGTTTTATATAGCTTGTTCAACACTTAACTCCCGTGTGCTGTGAGATAAAATGACTGTTTCTGTTCAAAGAGTCTGGTGGCTTTGTAGAGGGTGATGTAGCAGCTTCATTCCCCCGACAGGAAAGATTATCTGATGGCAACATTAAGTGGTAAAATCAATCCAAATATAGCGTACACTTAACGTACACTAAAGTTGTATTGATTTTTTTTAATGTGGTCTGTTTTTAATGAGGCTAAAATACGATTTGCAGCTGCCCCGTCCACAGCCACCAGACTCATTCGACAGAAACAGTACTTTTACTTTGCAAAACACAAGGAGTTGTTGGTCTACCGTTGCCTCTAATTAGCGCGGGAGGAGAGGCCATCTGAGCTGTAACCTACATGACTCCTCTTTGCTAACGGCTGAGTGGGAGTACCATTTGAAAAACACAGAAAAGAATGCAGAGAGACCTGCCCTTTGAATAAGCACAAAGTAAAAAGCACAGGAACACAGTGTTAGTGTTAGTCGAGCTTTTTAATGTGAGATTGTGCACCATAAACAACAGCAACAAACATTGTCCTTATGTAAACTTCTGCTAAATGAAAGAGCTGCTTGCAAATCATAATTTGTGTCTACATGCCTGGGTCACTTTTAATTGGAGTTTAAGAACCTAAATATAAAGAAAAGTTAAAAACCTAAAATGAGAAAGCACTTAGAGATCTTAGAGTGACAGATCTGACTCTAGTTACACAGGTGTCTTTTTTCAAGTAAGTGCAGCAGTTGATGAGCTGAAAAATTATCTCCCAATGTTTTCTTTGCGTCTAAACCGAAAACTAATGAGTTGTTCCTTGGCTCATGGCCTCTTCCTACCATTAAAAGATTGAGGTTTTTGATGTCATTCGAGTTATCAAACAAATCAAAGGTAACTTAAAAGAAAACTTTTTCCATTACGGAGCAGCAGCAGCAGCAGCAGCAGCAGGTCTGTGACTGCACGCACAGCTTCTGTTTAAAGTGCTCACAGTAAACTTGCACTTTTATTCCAGATGATCCCAGGGGGACTCTTCACAGCTCACCCTGGAAATGTTAATGCTCTGCTGAACCCTCCCGGCTGCAGAGAGCATCCTCTGTGCTACAGTAGCTGAGTGAAGCGTCTCACTCAGTGACTCGTTCCAGCTCTGTAATTTTCATCGCCGAGCATTGAAGGCGGTGCGACGAGTCGAACCACCTGGGCTTTTCTGAACTGTCAGCGAAGAGTCCTCTTTGAGTTAGCGCCAGCAAACATTATGCAGCAGTTCAGCTCCCCGACAAGAGGTGCACGAGGGCTCTGGGCAGAATTTAATTTCCACTGCACCTTGTAGTCAAGGATCAGAAGATGTGAATACTTACTGTTAATTTAAATACCTGAGTTGTTTTTTTTTATTTCCATTAATGCCTGTTAAAGAGTCATTTGGACAGAAGCTAATGGCTGCAGCGTGGGCAGAAACAAGAGGAAACTGCACAGAGAGATGCTTAAAACAGAAAAGAGCACAGCAATGCAACGTGTGGGTGAAGGGGAAAGGAAATCCCCAAGGGGCTTATGGGAATTATTCATGACAAAAAGCACAACCATATGCTGATAAATAAAGACCTGAATGCAGGGGATCTGAGACAACAGGGAAAACAATGCTGAAACAACTATTTATAAGTAAGTTAAAAGTAAATACGTGGGAGAAATAAAAGACTGCAGGGAATTTAAACGTGTTTTGAAATAAAAGCGAGATGCAGGGTGTGTGGGTGAGACAGATTGAAGGCAGCTGTTTAACATAATCTCATGCAAACTGATCCTCAGTCTGATATGTATTAGAAGTCTTCACGCTTCTTTTTTTATTTTCAGCTCTGTTATCCAGGGAGACGCTGGCTGTTTTATGTTTTAAATAACTTGTCATAACATATTTTTTTATAAAAACTGGTGTCAACAGGTTTACCAGGAGATAATAGCATGATAAGAGAAGTTGGTTGAAGGTCTCTCTCTCTGAATGCCACGACAGAAAAAATTTCTTGAGTATAAATGTGTAAAGATCCCCCTCCGATATGTTTCGAGATGTAAAAAAAAGACTGTCCTTCAGATATTTATTTGGTTTTCCATCAAAGAGTTTAGTCAGTCATTAAAAAAAATCCTTAAAATTACACGTAGCCCTTCTCTCTCATTGAAAAAATCAGAAATGTTACTGCAGATATTAATGTTCAAGGTGTCTTCATACATCCATGCTGAGCTCAGAGAAACTTTCTCCTTTAGCAGATAAATGTGAAAACAGCCTTCTAGTCTCAAACTCTGAAATCATCCAAGTGAAGGAAAAAACATGTTTCTGTGTCGGAGGGACTTGAACCTGTTGGTGAACCAGTCGATAAGTTCTTTATTACAAAGTATTGATTTGTTCTTTAGATGGGATTTGTAAGAACTGACCAGAATGTGTCTGCGATGTTCAGAGTCAGATTCTTCTTCAGTCTTAACTACGTATTGTTGGTGCATATATTTCTTGACCTAATTTTGTAGTAACGAAATGTATGGTCATTTTATTTACTTAAACAGCAATTAACATTTTTCAATTGAGAAGTTTGGGAAGTTTTTAGTTCCGAGGATTCAATGTTTTGTTTCATATCACTGGACTTTATTTATTTATTTATTTATTTATTTATTTATTTAACCTTTATAAACACCTCTTTTTCAAGTGTCCTGGCCGAGACACGCAGCAACAAGTTAGAGACAGAAAACACAGAACGAAAAATGCAGAATAAAAATCTACAGCTCTAAAACAAGCAATATAAAACACAAAATAAGATTACTACAAAGAAAAGCCAAAACGATGTTATTATTTACTAGAACTAAACCATAAAAATGCAAAAAAGAAACTACACAAGACTTTTGGATTGTTGGTCAGACAGCTGAAGACGTCACGTTGGAATGTGGGAAATTATAAAGTTATTTTTCTCTATATTTTTCTTAGATTAATCTGAACGATAGTTGTCACTATTGACGATAAAAAATGATGATGAATTAATAATGAAAATAATCTTTAACTTCTGTGCTAATTGTGAAGAGAAAGAAAGAAAACCTGTTATCTGAATTTAAAAGTATTATTATTACAAAACCTGACATCACCAAACCCTGACTTTTTGTTTTGTTTTCATTTCAGTCTGATTTTCGTATCTCGCCGCAGCATCTTTCAAAGTGTTTTTCAGCTGTAATGAAAAGTGTTTTAGAAATTTCCTTTTGACCTCACGCCTCCATTTCCAACTACATTAACACAATCTCCTAATGATGACACACTTCTTCCTCTTCTCCTCCTCCTCCTCTTCCTCAGGACCTTTCATCGAGCGAGCGATCATCGCCAGTCACACCAGTGAAGCTCTGTGGTTCAAGAGCGAAGACGTTTTACCGACACCAGAAGAAGATGAGTGACCTGTTCTCACATTGTATATATTCACTGTATTGAATAAAGTGTTTGTTCTGACTTTGCCTCCTGAGCTCTGCTGTTAAAAACAAAAACATCCCAGGAGAGTAAGAGGAGAACAAAACAAGGTGACCAGAACAGAACAGTGACTTTTATTAATAATGACCCACAGGAGGCTGCAGCCCATAAATCAGCTGATGCTGTGGTGTTTCACAGGACACATGGAGGCGCATCAAAGGTTCACAAAGGTGTGTGTGTTACCTTAACTAACACTTGTAAAATTATTTAAAATCCAGCTCTTTCCTCTAATCCAGATAAGGTTTGATAGCACAGTGTGTCATGTCTGTATTTACTAACATTCTTTTTAGATTATTTCCATTTTATAATTAAATGATCCTCGTTCAGTCAGAAATATCCTAACTTTGGCTGGTTCGTTTGGAGAGTCTTTAACTTTAAAAACTCAACTTGAAAGTTGATTTAAAATGACGCTGAAGTGTTTAATTTTGCTAAAAGCTGCAAACACTTTGACCATATGAGTAACTGTACACTAGAGATGTAATTTCTCCAGATTTAAAACTCTAAATGTCCATGAATGTAATGAAGAGCAGTCTTTTAGGGAAAACGTTTAGTGATGTCAAAGATGAAACTGTTTGGTGTAAATTAGAGAGCCCCTGTCTGATGCACCTGTGACCAATCTGAACTCTTCACAGGTGTCAGGATGTACATATTGTTTCTCTGACCTGTAGTGTTAATTTTACATCTTCATATTTTTGGTGTGAGTCACCGAGTGTTGGAGATATCCGCCGTAGAAATGTCTGTCTTCTCTCCAGTATAATGGAACTAGATGGCACTCAGCTTGTGGTGCTCAAAGCTCCAAAACACATTTTTTAAACTCAACAGTAATGTCTCTTTACAGAAATCATGACCTGGTTTCTCAGGATAATCCACAGACCTTGTTGTGAGCAGTTTCATGTAGGAACTATTTTCTTTCTACTGAACTACACCAGCCAGCTGCATCACCACTCAAAAGGAAGTGTGCATCACAAGTGTAAACCTGGAGACCATCCTGTTTTTCCTGGTTTGGACTTCTTACTGCTACATCATGTAGTGACATTTTGGACAATAGCGTTAGTTTGACAGTTTGTGCTTGTCACTGTCCTGTTTCAACATGTCACTACCTCTGTACACAAATCCTGCTCCATGAAGAAATGCTTTCCCCAGTTTGGTTTCAAAGATCTTGACTGAGTCCTTACCTGAACCCCATCCAACACCAACACCAGCAACCTGATCATCTAGCATCCGTACCTGAACTCACTGGTGCTCTAGTGGCTGACAGAGCAAATCTCTGCAGCCAGGTTATAAAGTTTGGATATTTAGCAGAGATGTGGATATGAGTCACATGATTTGGACTCATGTCAGACTAGGATAAGAATTTCATGACTTTAGACTCTACAAAATCAAAAAAGACTTGCAGCTCAACTTGGATTTTGACTCATGACTTCACTTGGACTTGAGCCTTTTGACTTTTAATACTTGATACCTTACCCCGAGCTCAAAGATGAAAAAGTATGTTACTCAAAAAACTGTGTCACGAATCACTGAAGCTTTTCATTCCCAGCAAGTCGACACTTAATTCCCCAGATCCACTTTGAACTTATCCAACACTCCACTCAGGTTGCAGGAGGGAACTTGACATGACATTACTGAGTGTCAGCTGGAAAAAATGATACCAAAGATTAGTTCACCTACAAAAACTGTGAGGTGGTCAACAAGAAATGAATTGCAGTATGAAAAGCGTGTGGGTCTAAATTTATAGACAGAGATACAACAACTTTAAACAAACAAATAAATACAAACTTAAAAGCATTCACGATTATTGCAAATATATTATTACTATAATAACTGCTGTTAAAATGGCATTACATTTGGGGAAGAGTGCATTATGACTTGTTAAGCACTTGAGACTTAAAGTTTAGGACCTGCGACGTGACTCTGGACTTGCCTGTCTTTAAGTGTGACTTGAGTGTAAATTCAAATTCCTTTCATTGTCAATTTTTTTATGATGAAACGTAAAAACGAAATACTGTTTCATGTCTAAAACCAGCAAAATTAAAAGTTCTCAGTGCAGTAAAATTATTCAGTTAATAAATAGATAAATAAATCTAAAATAGAAGCTAATAAAAAGGCCAATAAAGTGCAGTCAAAAGACCAGGTGAGTCCATGTGTGCTACAGTTCAACAGTCTGATCACTGAATGATAAAAACTGTTCTCAGACCTGTTGTCCTGCAAGAGAGATAATCCTGAACCGAAAGACTTGAGACTTGTGACTTTGTCCCACCTGTGGAGGAAACCATTTCTTCATGGAGCAGGATTTGTGCACAGGGTACAACACTATTGTCTAAAATATCACTGCATGTATTGTTGCAGCAACAAGACTTTATTGCTTCTAAGGAGTCCAAACCAGGAAAAACCGGACAATCTCCACATTTTCACCCATGATGCACGCTTCTGTCTGCACAGTGATACAGTTGGTGGGTGTAGTTTGGTAGACAGAAAACAGTTCCTACATGAAACTGCTCACAACAAGGTCTGTGGATTATCTTGAGTAACCAGGTCATGATTTCTGGAAAGAGACATTGATGTTGAGTTTTTCAAATGTAGTTTTTTGGCACTTTGAGCACCACAAGCTGAGTGTCATCTAGTTCCATTATACTGGAGAGAAGACAGACATCTCTACGGCTGATATCTCCAACACTCTGCACCTCAACTGTCTAGATTGGAAAATAGCACTACAGTTAAGAGGAAAAATATGTACTTCTGATTTCAGAGGTGGACTGTCCCTTTAATACGGACATTTGGCCTCTTAATAAGTAACAATTACATGATTTAATTCAAGATAGGAGCCTAATTTACACCAAACACGTGGTCCTTTAGAGATCACTGAATATTCTCCCTAGCAGACCGTACTTCATCACATTCATGTACATTTGGAGTTTTAATCTGGAGAAATTAAAATCACATCTCTAGTATGCATATATTCAGTTTTAACAAGGTGTCCGCAGGTTTTATAAAGTAAAATCAAACACTTTGACTACAGTAATGCGTGTACCACAGGTGTAGTACCGCCACCAGACACCGGGAGGCAGTATTGACACAGCCTGTGCTGCAGCCTCCTGCAGAGATGAATACCTGCCACCTGTTGCAGCTGAAATCACCAGAAATATGAAGTGTTGCCAGAGGAGAAGTTTGATTTTCTGTTCTTTTAATATTTTACTCAATAATTCATAAAGACGTGCGGGGCCACTGACAACCATCCTCTAGATATAAACATATTTATTGATCTGTGTAACAAAGATGTGCTCTTTTATTATCTATAAAATGTCTTGCAAGCTTCATTACAGTGTGTGTGTGTGTGTGTGAGTGTGGCCTCTTGGGTTTGAGGTAGACAGACAAGAGGCAAGGTTGCAGAAAATGACTGAATGGCCTTGAAAAATTCTCATCAGTTCATCAGTGTCTCTGAGTCCAAACTCACATGTTGAAGACGAGTTGATTTATGTTGCTATAGCAGACAGTCTGAGGGGATCTCACTGGGGCCTGCGGGATGTCTTAACTCCCCCAAAATGCAAAGTTTAGGTTATTTTTTTCATTAATTTAAGTATAAGCTCCTCCAGCTGTTTTTCCTGAGCCGAACAGTGTCTTTATTAATTCATGTTTACGATTCAAAGCCTGAAGTTAAACCAGTGAATTGAAGCTTTAACTGAGAACTGTTTTTATATTAGCTCAATGTCCCTGTAGCTGCGTCCTCACCCTGCTGAGGTCAACATTTACCCCTTTAAAGATTTATTTTTGTGTCAGTATGAGCTGCTAACAACACGCAGCGTGTCTCTGGGAAGGTAACACATGATGTTTGATGTCCCTGAACCACAGCGAGAGCCGAGATGTCTTCTCAAACTGTGTGTTGAATTAGTATACAGACAGTTACGCAGCCGTCCTCTGATGCCGTGCAGGTTGATATTCAGTGTAAGATGGAGATAAGTTGGAGCTTTTATTGGTCCCTGTGGGGAGATCAGGCTGTTGCTGCAGCTAATGTAATAGGATTTGGGAGATAAAGAGAGTCACAATGGAAAGAGGCTGTGGAAACTGGAAACAATAAAAATGATGAAGCTGACTCCTGTTGATGAGCAGCCGCTTCAGAGAAGTTGTTGCCTGTGTGACGTTTACAGGCCTGTACTCTTCATGTGTGTTTGGTATCTATAGTGTTATTCTGATGATTCATAGTGTGAATTTATCGTTGTTATTCCAGACGTCTTCTGCACATCTGCGTGTCCTCGAAGATGTTTCCTTCCTCTGATGCTCCTCCTGAGGTTTCTCCTTGTTTACCTCCTGTTAATGCTTTTCTTTTTTTGTCCTTGTCTGAATACAGAGTCTAAACATGGAGGCTAAATCCCTTTGAGGCAGATTTGTGATTTTGGACTATATAAATAAAACTTGGCTTGGGATCTTAAAGGGCTCTTAAGAGGGTTTTAGGATTTTGCAGCATTTCAACAATAAAGAATCGGTTAATTTAACTCCAGACATAGAAACCTGCAACATGCACAATTGTATTTATAAAATATTAAAGGTCCAGTGTGCAGGATTTAGTGGCATCTAGCTTTGAGGTTGCAGAACTGAAACTTCTCCCGTGTGCTGAGTGTATAGTACGGTGGCCAACATGAAAACACAAACGGCCCTATCTAGAGCCAGTGTTTGGTTTGTCCATTCTGGGCTACTGTAGGAACAACATGGCAGACTCCATATGTAGATATAAACAGCTCATTCTGAGGCAACAAAAACACTGCGATTCTTATTTTTAGGTGATTTTAACTGAATGAAAACATAGTTATGAATATTTTATACCATTTCTGATGCTTCATAATCCGACACACTGGACCTTTAAAACATAATATTTTTTAATTAGATATTGTGCGTCACACAGAACTTCAAAAATCTTCATAGCCAGGATTTATGAGGACACACCTCAGGTGGTGTGATCGGTTGGGAGGTCATTTGAATGTGCTTGACATGTTTGGCCTTTGACCTCTGTGAAGACAAAATAAATCTCCAGTAAAATGTCATGACATATTATTTTCGGAAAGAAATCATGTCTGTAACTTTAATTTAATGAAAATACCTGATTGATTTTTTTGTGATCAAGTTTTACTGGATGGTCTCTGCTCTGGTGGGGGATAGAGAGAAATGATGGCAGATGAATCGTCAATTAAATGATTCTTTTTAGAATTTATTGATTAATTAGAATTTTCAAAAAAGCCAAGATATTAGCTTGTTTTAGTATCTGAAATGTAAAGATTTACTGCTTGTCTCTGTGTTATTTCACTATAAACTGAGTACTTTGGGGTTTTGGACTGCTGGTCGGACAAAACAAGATGTAATCATGGACTCTGGGAAAGTATGATGGGCATTTTTCTTTATCTCCAAACATTAGTATTTGATTATTCCGACAAAGTTAATGATTAAAAAACAAATCACTGGCAAATTAATTTATAATGAAAATAACTGTTAGTTGCAACCTTGAATTCACCTGCCACAGTTACACGAAATTGAAAAAAAGAAGAAGAATGCAAATATAAACCTGTAAATATGTGCCGCTTTACAAATGAAGTGCTGTTCCTTGACTGAACACGTTCGTCACTAAGACCACTAGCATTATATTAAAGTAGGACTTTTGTCTTCCTGTGTTTCCCAAATCACATGAATCAAGGGTTTTGTTTCAACATTGGGGGTCACACATATGACACTGAGCATCAAACACTTTTCTTTCCTGCAGTTTCCTGCATCGTGGTTAGTTTTTATGCACCAGTGTGTTCCTTTTCTGCATCGATTACTAGTGAAAATATTAATTTTGTCAAAATAAAAGTCCTCTGTTACTTTCTTTTTTCAGATTTTTTTTGCATGACATGCAGCAAAGGGCCACAGGCTGGAGCTGAACCCAGGCCACTGCAGCAACAGCTGTGTACATGGGGTGCCTGCTCTATCCACTAAGCCACCGACGCCCCAGTCCTCTGTTACTTTCATGTTTTTATTTGGGGGACGAATGCACATGTTTTAAATATTGAGAGGGACATGTCCCCTGTGTCATCCCCCGAAATCTACATCTATGACACTGATTTAAAAAGCACAATGAGTGATAAAAAAGGAAAACAGTACAGAAGTGTCTCTGAACATGAACTGAGCATCAAGTAACTTTATAAAAACACCTGACTGATGTTATTTATCTCCTCATAATAGTGTGAAAACATTTCTATGATCATAACCAGAGATAAATGAAAGTGGATTCATCTTCTCTCAGTTCACTCTCTGTATTAAATCTGACCTCAATGTGAGAATAAAGTTAAATCATCAGCAGACTCGTCCCGAGGTGTCAAAGTAGTGACAGTTAAAACAGAGACAACATTAATTATTCTGACTGATTTCTGCTCACGTCGACTCGTCAGGGTCCCAGACTGGAGGTCAGGGTTCACTCAGATCTGAGTGCAGGTTGTGAATAGTTTGAGGGCGGCAGACGGGAGCAGCAGAAACATTAAAGCAGTAGAAAGAAAGAAAACTTGTTCAAAGGCAAAACTGATTCTGATCCCAGTTTCTGGCAGAGGACAAAAGGGCTGAGTGGAGATCAGGTTACTGCCATGTGACACTAAGGAATCTCAGCGCTGCACTCCCTCTGATTAAACATAACACTCTGCACACATCCCATAATACTCCACTGTTATAATACAATCATCAGCTGAATTAAACTCCCTGCAGCTACAGATGACAAATACATCCAGCAGAAATCATATAGTCATACTTTATGAAGGCAATATGATGTTAATACACACTGGGAAAGCTCCTCAGAGTCCCTGTGGGATTATTAGCACCAGGGATAAACATAAAACACACACAAATACTTAAAGTCACAGCTAAATGTATGCAGTACATTGTGTCATAAAAACATACTGTATGTTAATAACAGTAACCATTAAATGTGGTTAAGTAAGTTAAAGGAACCATAAGCTGCCACCATGAGTTAGATAGTGATGTTAAGTGTATTAAACTGCTGTTAAAGCATGTTAAAGTTACTATAAACTCAATATTAAGACATTTTAAATGATTAAAGTCACACTGAATAATGTAGGAAGTAGAAAAAAATAAAATGAAGCACATCAGACACATGTGAAAGTTCATATTACGCAAAATTTGAACATTTTTATGAGCTTTTACAGCTCTTTATCGGATCAATATTTTATTAGTTTCTCCAAACCTGATCACTTTTGACTTTTTCACTTGTCTCCAAATACTGTTAGTAGGCAATTCATTTTTCAGGGAACTTTAGTGAAATAAAAACTAGACTTTAGTTACTACAAAAACACGATAAAGTCCCCACAGTATCAGTACAGTGGTTTTAAAAGTTTTTGTGCTATTACTCATGAAATATTTGACAAAATGATTCAAGAATTCATTTTAAACTTTTTAAAATGACATCAAAACACCAATGAAACATCAGTTTAAACGGGAAATGATGTCAGATAATTCCCACACATGAAGACTTTTTAAATAAAATAGAATGAAATAAAATAAAATACAGTTGACTTAAATTAAATTAAATTAAATTAAATTAAATTAAATTACCTTAAATTGAATTAAGTTCAGGTCGAATTTGCCTCTTTATTAGGAAATAGGTTTGCACGACACACTGATACAGTCAATTCAAAATTAATTCAAAAGTTTTTGTATAGGCTCAGTTGAATATTGCAGTAATTATGAGTGGTTCTTATAAAATCCCACGGCATACCTGGATTTGCATCAGGGCACAACAGTGTGCTGGGACACACCATTGAGAACCACTGCCTTAGAATATATAAAGACAATACATCGCACCTGAAGTACAACAGGACTGGATGTCAGTACTCCAACTGCATTATATGGATATTAAACTGAAATAATAAAGTCTATAAACTGGTTCGAAACTCACATTTTAATCAGGAACGGATTATCAGACCCTTTGCCCCTGGGCACAGATATGCAAAAGCCCCCCCACCCTACCCCTTCCTCTCCTGTAGGAGCAAGACACACACTATGCAGTTGTTCAGCCTTGTATTATGTGGTTGTTTTGCATGTCTCTGTGGTCATTTTGAGTCTCTTCCTGATCAGTATGTGTTCATTTGAGTGACATTTTGCAGGTGAGGACCAGGGACCAACCCCTTGTCACACTTCAGGCCCCTGTGCCCAGTCGGCCTGTTCAGTCATCCTTCCATGACTAAACACAGTTACTGCCGTGATATTGTAGCGACGCCTACATTTCCCGTCATGCTGGACTGAGGAGTTTGTAGTTTGCAGCTCATATTTGCTGTTTTATGTTCCATAAAGCAAATGTCACTTTTTGGTCACTGACTATAGTGTGTCTGTACAGAACTTGGTGGTTTACAGTTTGCAATGTTAGTGAGTTGACTGTTAGACTTCATGACCCCAGCTGTATTTTCTCACTGGGTTATTGGGTCTGATTTACACCTGTTACATGTCAGTGAAAGACTGGTGGGGCTCAGAACTTACTCGTCCTGTGTGAAGCAGAAATTGTTTGTTTAGTTCTTTGTCTCCCATCATGTTTTGAACTGGACATTTGCCTGCTTTCTTTTCCATGTCACTTTTGACTGAAAAATACCTGGTTGTTTTTAAAGGAGCAGATCAGTTTAAACTGTATTTGCATGTCCTCATACACCCCAAAAGTTTCTGAATCTTCTGCTGCAAGAAGATGCTTATCAGCAGTGCATCATCTGGGTTCTCATGTGTTGTGGAAAACTCAGAAGATAAAATAATCCCTCACATTTTAGGCCCCGGGGCCTGTGCTCAGTTGGCCTGTTCAGTAATCCTTCCATGATTTTAACAACAATCTGCATTTCTCCATCAGGAAATGTAAGATTTTTTTGTGCCAATTTGACGTCTGAAAGTCTAAAAGGTCTTCATCAAAGTTCTAAACCATAAGGTCACACAAAAAGCCTGTATATGTATGTTAAAGTGACTAGAAGTTCCACAGGTCTATGAGCTGTGAGGAGCTACACCTAAGAGGGATTTTAAACTTTCACATTGTTTAAAGTAAATCATCCTTAACGGCCTGAGAGAAATGAAATTGTCCAGTATTAAATGAGTAAAATAAAAAGGAATGATTACAAAAAAACTGTAGAAAATAAGCATCATTTTGTGTGAAAAGATGTTGTTTTCCAACCCTGTTAATTATCTTGTGAGCCCTCGGAGGGTCCTGACCTCTGGTTTCACAAAAGAGCCGTATAATTTGAATATGTTTTAACAATATATGAGACCTACAGTGCCATAATGTGCAATATAATCACTCTAAACTCACTTTACCTGATAAGATTACCTATAATATGGCTCATTATAGAGGATTGAATGTCATTAGATGGGAGAAAGTCGCCCTACAGGAGACTAATGATGATATAACAGGGGATAAAACACCATTAAGTATGTTAAAGTCAGTAGAAACACGCAAGACAAAGTTATTAAAGTGAGTATGGTGCCACCGACAGATTTATTATTCTGTAAACCTCAGATTTTTGACAGTAAATGAGATTAAAATGATGAATCCCTGTGATAATGTCACTGTTCTCTCTCATGTTTTAATCCCCAAGGAGCTGAGTCCCCCATCATGTGAGATAATCTGTGAGGAGGGAGGTGGAGGTGGAGGGAGGTGCAGCAGAGGAGAGGTGGGACGTCCTCCTGGAGAGAGGAGGGAAGGACGAACAAGAAAAAAAGAAGGAGACGAAGAAGAGGAAAGAGTGTGGGGTTTGGGGAGGACAAGAAGACCGCCGCACCGCAAGAAGTGACTTCAAACACCGCGCAACATTCGCTGCAGGAGCGCTGAAAGTCCGACCGCCTCCCGTCGTCATGCGCCTCGGCTTTTGAAAGCGTCCCGGCTGCTGCTAGTGCTGCCGCTGCTGGGGAGAGGACGAAGCACCTTGCATCTGCTGATTTATTTTGTGGCAGAGTTTTGTGTCCGACCGGCAGAGCAGTGAGCAGGCGGAGAGAAGGAGGAGGAGGAGGAGGAGGAGGTGGATACTTCTCCAGGTTTCGGGACTGCGCCGCATTCCAGCCCGGAGCGCAGCGCTCAGGAGTCGGACCCGGTGCGCTCCGTCTCCCCGCTCCCTGTCTTCAAAGATTCCTGGATCTTTTCCTGGTTGTTTTCTCGTACATCGGGACATCAGTAATGCACAGTGAGAACTGCCTGAGCTAGAGAGATAAACACAAACACATCGCGCGTTTCTCCCTCCTGACTGGATTTGGATTTAATGCCCTTTTTGGCTGCGACCATGGGTGCATGGTGGATATTTGTTGGCGCTCTGGCCGGGATCCTCACCGTCCCCCGTGGGATACATGGTTAGTATGTTTGGTGTCTTTTTACTAAACCAGTTGTTCGAGGTTCTCATGTAGGTCAGGGGTTATCAGGGACCACCATGCACTCTCACGTTAGAGCCACAGACTCCAGATTTGGGTAGATTTTGTTCCACATTGGTCACATAAATCTGCCCAGGCTGCTCAGGACTCTCACAGGGGAGTGAAAGTTCTGGTTTACCCTTTCTATTTAGACCAGCTCCCATTGATTCAGGCAGCAGGGAATGTAATTCATTCCTCAAGTTGCCCGGGACATCCTGGAGCTCTCTCAAGGACCCCTGGAGGGGGGCAGGACCTGCTGTGGGACCCCCTGAGCAGGTTGTTGTTTCCCAGGAGTGAGAGCACACATTGAAGTGCCATTCCAGCTTCAGGATTTGCAGAGTTCCCCAGAAGGAAAAGAAAAGCAGTGAATTTAAGGTTTCATGTCACACAAACATCATTTGATGGGATTTCTGAATTTAGAGCGTCCATCTGGGAGAAAGTATTGATCACAAGTGGAGACTAAACTGTTTCAGATGATGAGAAAGCAGCACCCAAACTCAGATTAGTAGAAAGCATTGCTTAGATGATTTGCAGGTGATAAGAAGTGTTAAAACTTTTTGTTTAACAGCATTTTAGTGTCAAGATTTTAGAGTTATGTCACTGAAATCCAGCCATGGCAATGCTGTGAAACAACAGTTGCATGTGTCTCAGATGAATTAAAAACCTAAATTAGACTGTTCAACAAGATGTCTTCACATTTCTTGATCTGCAAATTTAGAGATGGAAGTAGAGTCAAACTTTAAAGTCAGTTTAAAAAAGTTTAAGTCTAATTTCAGTACAGTCAACCATATCTGCTGCCCTTCTCAGCCTCACAGCCAGGGTAGTTTTAGCACAAACATTCATTGAACAGTGTTTTTCGAATAAGTGCCCTCCATCGTAGTAGAGTTTGGCTTCTGTTCTAGATCATGAAGTGGAGATTTAACTGTATCTGATGCTGAGAAAGCAGCACCCGTACACAGATAAGCCACATTTGTGCAGGAAGCATTGATAAGGTGATGTGCAGGCAAAAAGACATGCTATAACTGGCTAAAATTGGTTATAAAGTGAAAGTTTTTATGCTTATTTGTTCCTTAAATATCATTTTCAGTGACTATATTTCAACATGGAAGTAGGGTACTGAAATCCAGGTGCTGATATGCTGTTGAAACAGCAGTTGCATGTATACTAAATGTATTTAAATCCTTACTTAGCCTTTATTTAACAAGATGCTGTCATATCTCTTGATCTGCAAATCAGTTCTTGGTGTAGTCGAACTTTAAAGTCAGTTTGATAACGTCCAATTCAAGAAAACTTGAATCATTTCACTGCAATCACCCCTAAATGACTCCTTTGTCAGCCTCACAGTCAGGACTCAGGAATCAGACAAACACTCATGTACCCTTAATTGTTTCTTTTCTAAATCACAAAGTGGAGATTTAACAGATGCTGAAAAAGCAGCAGTCATACTCACATTAGTCAGATTTGTGCAGACAGCATTGATAAGGTGACTTGCAGGTGAAAAGACTGGTTTTAAATTTGGTTTGAAAGTGGAAGATTTTATGGTTACTTGGTCTTTAAACGGCATTTCAGTGGCTATATGTCGAGGCAGAGTTAGGACACTGAAATCCAGGAATTGAAATGCTGTTGAAACAACAGTTGCGTGTATCTTAGATGTATTAATACCTTACTTAGCCTATATTTAACAAGATGCCGTCACATCTCTTGATCTGCAAATCAGTTCTTGGTGAAGTCAAACTTTAAAGCCAGTTTGAGAAAGTCTAATTCAATCACTCATAAATGCTGCCTTTGTCAGCCTCACAGTCAGGACTCCTTCAAATCAGAAATACATTCATGTTTGTTCATGTACATTCATGAATTGTTTCTTTTCTAAATCACAAAGTGGAGATTTAACAGTTTCTGATGGTGAGAAAGCAGCAGTCACACTCACATTAGTCAGATTTGTGCAGAAAGCTGTGATTTGACATGTTAAAACTGGCTAAAATTGGTTATAAAGTGAAAGTTTCTACGGTTATTTGTTCTTTAAACAGCACTTCAGTGACTATATTTCAACGTAGAGTTAGGACACTGAAATCCAGGCATTGAAATGTTGTTAAAACAACAGTTGCATGTCTCCTGGATGTATCAAATACCTTATTTAGCTTTTATTTAACAAGATGCCTTCACATCTCTTGATCTGCATCAATCGTTATTTCGATGGAAGTGAAGTCAAACTTAAAAGTCAGTTTGAGAGAGTCTACTTCAAGAAAACTTTCACCACAATCACCCATAACTGCCGCCTTTCTCAGCCTCGCAGCCAGGATAGCTTTATCACAAACATTCATTTAACAGGGCTTTTGAATGTGCACCCTCCACCTGAGAGGATTTTTGCTTCTATTCTACATTATGTGGGTAAGATTTGCCTATTTACGATGCTGGGGAAGCAGCACCTTGTGCTCAACATAGTCAGATTTATCCTCTTGTTGTGCTTGTATCTCAGAAAGCACTGATTTGGTGATTTGCAGATGAAAAGAGCCAAAACTAGGATGAAAAGTGCAAGTTTTTATGGTTGCTGAAACAGCTTTTTTAAGCATAATATCTGAACCTGTGGGTAAGAAATGTTTTACATTGAAATATGGTCATTTAAACCCTGCGGTGACAACAGTTTTATGTATTGCAGACATTTAAAACACCTCATTTAACCCAAATGTTTCATCTTTGGACCTGCAAATCACCAAATCATTGCCTCATGAGACAGAAGTGCAGCCAGACTTCACAGCCAGTTTGAAGAGGTCTGATTTAAAGAGGAGCCATGCTGGAATACATTCAGTTACGTCTCTTAAAAATACAGTATTCAGGCTGTCATTATCTACTGAAAATAATCTCCTTGGTGAGTGAGAGTATAATCAGCTTCATGGATAATTCTGCAGATGCTCACAGCCACATTCAACAGACTTTAAAGGAATTTGAGAAGAAAAGAAACAAAGTAAACTTGTTGTCTGAGTCGACCTGTTGTGCATTTTCACTTTCTTTAAATATCTCAGCACGTCTTTGAAACAGATCCTGCTCGTGGCCTCTGTGTCATTTAAATATTCATAACTCTGCATCACATCTAAAAAGCTCTGCCCATGCACAGCTACAGTATTCCCATAATGCAGAAGACTGTCAGGAGCAGAATCTAAAGCAGCCGTTACTGAACTGACCCACTCAAGGTTTCACTGCGTTCCTCAAATCAAACTCATGCTTGTTAATATCACAGCCAGGTACCGGCGGGAAAGAGACGGGCTGCATGTTGAAATCTGGAGGGTGAATGTTTCTCTGCAGGAACATGACTACAGACTTTTTTCTTTACCAAAATCATTAGCATCCTCTCTCATCCATCTCGGCATGTATCCAATCTGCTTGGCAGCGCTCACTTCATAATAAAATAAAACTCAAACTTTTACAGAGATACTCCTTCGCCTCCGTTCACTGAAGACAGAGCACGTTGGCGTTGGCAGGCAGACTAAAGTACTTATAAATGTTGAAATGTTATCGACATTGAAGTGCCGCTGCGTGGATCGGATGGCTGCTGAGATGAAGAGACTCTGAGCAAAAGTTTGGAGTGAAGTTCATCACACGTGTTGCTTTGCTATGCAGATTCCTTTAAAGGTCCAGTGTGTAGGATTTAGGGCGACATATTGGCAGAAACAGAATATAATAACTATGTTTTCTTTAGTGTAAAATCACCAGAAAATAAGAATCATTTAGTTTTTGTTACCTTAGAATGAGCGGTTTATATCTGCATAGGGAGCAGGTCCTTGTCTGTGAGGATTGCCATGGTGCACCTCCATGTTTCAGTAGCCCAGAACAGACAAAACAAATACTAGCTATAGGTAGTGCCATTCTGGTTTTCGTGTTTTTGTGTAGTTAGCAGCCCCTTTGTGACAAGATGTTGGAAAAACACTGTATAAAACTGCTTTATTTGGTGTTTGTGCCACTTTAAGTCACCTGGGGTCTCTTTTGTAAACATTGTGTACGCACAAAACGAGGCCTGGAAGAGGCATGTGCCACTTCCCACGCAAAAGTTGTGATCTATAAAAACACACTTGATGTTAGAAACTTTGACCCACGCTTACGAACATTTTGGAGACGGGAAATTGGCGACACAGATGGTGAGGTGGCGGTCCATACGACAGACATTGTAGTATGGATCCTACGCACTTTTTATAAATGAGATGTTTGTTTAGGAGAGGAAGAGACCTCTGCAGATAATTCGGCTCCTAGTAAAAACCTCCTGAACATCTGGATCAGAAATAAGGTGAGCACACGTTAAGTTATCAGAGAAAAAAAGTGAGCTCATGTAGCAGTCGCTGGGCTCGTGGCCTGTCTGCGATGTGCCGAACAGCATCGGAGAAACACTGATTTGTAACATGAAACTGCTTTATTCATTTTTACCGGTTTAAATCACTGGTACGTTTATTTTGGAGAGGAAGAGACCTCTGGGGGTAACTCATCTCATGGTAAAAACCTCCTGATGAATGGACACTTAAGGAATACTAATTGAGACAAGTTTCAGCTGGATGCAATCTGCAGTCATCAAGGCTAGATGCCACTGAATCTCCCTCAATCTTACTTTCTGGACCTTTAAAGTTGTTGTATGTGGCTGTGAGTATCTGCAGTGTTATTATCCCTGACCTAACCAGATTACAGTGTCACTCAACTTGGAGATTGAATTTGGTTGACTGATCATGGGTCCTCTGAAATTAGACTTTCTGAAATTGGCTGTGAAATTTGACTGAACCTTTATCACATGAGAGATTGATTTGGTGATTTGGAGGTCCAAGGGATGATACATGTGGGCTAAGTTAGGTGTTGTAAATGTTTAGGATACATAAACTGTTGCATTCAAATGACTGTATGTCAATATAAAGCATGCCATATTTAGAGATTCAGATACAACCATGGGAAACCTGTTTATATAACCG